TGCTGGTAACTCTTAACGCTTTCCTGAGAAATTTTTAGAACCCCATTGAATACTGAACCTGAACAACAGCTGCATTCAACTTGTTCTGTTATAATTTTACATCTCTACCAGACACATTTCAGTTCTTCACTCTTCAATCAGAAAGATTGGAAAATGCTAAATACTGCCTTTGTGAAATGAAGCCATATCCGTAAGGGTTTGATGTTGCATGTGGTATGTACCTGGTTACTCTCATGTAAATCCCACCACTGCTGTTCAAAATATTAGTGGTCATGAGATCAGTTCAAATAAAGAAGGCCCTTTGGCTCATCTGATTTCATCCTTCCAAAATATCCATCCTCTCGTATCCCCCAAGGTAGCAACACACTGTGTTTTAAACGAGTCCAGTTTCCTGGCTTCCAAGAACCTTTCCTGGCAACCTGTTCCAGTTGTTGATTATCCTCTGGTTAAAAAGAAAATTGCTCCTGTCTGTCCTGAAATTGCCCTTCAAAACTCTGAAGCTTTGTCCTCTTCTTCTGTCTTGGAACATCTTAAAATAATGGCTGAATAATGAATAAGTTCTGATGGAGGGTCATGGACCCGAAACGTTGACTCACTTTCTCCATAGATGCTGCCTGACCTGCTGAGTGTTCCCAGCGACTTCTGTTTTTGTTTCAGATTTCCAGCATCTGCAGTATTCAGCGTTTTGTTTAAAATAGTGGCCTTATTTTTTTCAATCCCATTTAATATTTTAAATGGCCTATAAATTTTAAAAAAACAACAAAATCTTGATTTGATTTACGGAATTGTCAGATTCAGGTAACAGGAATTAAGATTAGTGCTTTGTTTAGGAAGTGATTTTTAGAACATTCCCAATTATGCTTTTCATTCTGATAACAAGCAACTTATGTGGCTTATCGCCCACAAAGTATGCAGTCAATTCACTTTCCAGTGTATGTTGTGAAGCGCTTTGAGATGTCTCGAAGACGCGATAAGGCGCTATATTTTATATAGCTGTTAAGCCTGCGTCATTAACTGTACAGTCGTTAGTCAGTTCTAATCATCTGACTTCTTTATATGATGTTAATATAGCGCGTCATTGCACAAAGCTACAACACAACTTGCGTTTATACTACGCCCAGTGGCGGAGCTTGACTCCGAGCCGGTGACTCGGGGAGGTGACGGTAGGCCTTTAGATAGGACTTGAAGGAGGCAAGAGGAAATGCGGGATAGAGTTCCAGAGTGTAGGGGTAGAGATTGAGTGTGATCTGAGGATGTGGAAGGACACATAAGAACCGGGGAGGAGGAAAGCTATGGTGTGCATTCCATGCGCTGCTTTTGGCGATGTGCGTTAATGGGAAACCCAAGTAGTGTCTGACATGCCAAAGGCAATTTGTGTAACACTCACCGTAATTTTTCCCCTCAAAGGAGCTCTTCTAGAAACTGAATACACACTGCTGCTTGGTAGCAAAATCCTTAACCTGATTGTGATCTGCCTCCTCATTAGAAATTTGGCCATCATGGCTGTGTTGAACTGGCTACCAGAGCACATCGCATATCTGTAACTGTAAAAAAACACTTGTAGCTAATACTGAATAACTCTCTTAACCCCATCCACTCCCCAGTTATGTTATAGGTACTCATCTACTTGCTCTTAATTATTTTACACAGCCTTCCTTTAGCTCTACCCCACCCAGATTTTTGGTACAAACCTTTATCCTACTCTGCTCTGAAATGCACCGAAAGGCTTTCTCTAAAGAGAAGGGAATTTCTCTCTCCTGGTGTCCTGGCCAACAATGCCCCAAATAAAATTGGTCATGGCTGTTTGTGGGACTGGCTGCCATGTTTTGCCCACAAAATACAGTCACGCCACGTTACAGAGTATTCGACGACGTGATAAGGCGCTATACAAAATGCAAGGATTATTTATTCTCCTTCCCTTTCGCCATTTGGGCTGCAGGGCCTTTTTATTTCCCTATTTATATCAAACAACTTCCTGTTTTAGCCATCTCTTTTATATTACTGAAAACCTAGATTTTTAAATATTTGGTTCAGATCAAGGTGCACTGCGGGACAAGTAGCAAACTGCTGGCAGTTTATTGCAGTTCTCAACCACATACAATGCTGTGCCGGGATTGTTCAGGTGGCGTGTGGAGAATGGGTAGTCTTGAGTAACATTCTCTTTTCCCCTTGTAAAATCATTTTTATGTTTTCTATTAAATGCTTTCCATAAAAACAGTAATATAATGCAATACCAAATGAGGATGAAAACAAGCTGATGTTTTACTGTAATATGTTGCAGCTGTAAAACACTAAAGTGGCGATCAGAATATTTCAGCCTGACTTTCCATGACTCTTAAGACATTCTCAAGACTGTAATGTGAAGTAGAAACTCGCTGTATCTCGGGAGTCATTCTTTTGGGGGTTATTATGACTCATCTTGTTCGTTCTGGCAGCGTTATTATTTGTGATTAATTGACAGAGTTATTTATCGGGTAACTCATTTAATGCTGTTTACATATTTAATGCATTGACAGGGGAAGGGTCACACGTTAGTCTGAGCAAGTGCTTAGCACTGGCCTGAGTTGCATGCAAACAAGTTTTTTGTTGAAAAAAATAGCTGTACTTGTGGGAGCATTTGAGCAAATACAGCAAATTAGTGTGGTGAGTAACTCAACAATATTTGCAGATCTGCTGAATTTTAAACATCTGCTGAGAGTATTTCATCCAAAACAAATAAAGTATCTACGACATTCTTGGATCAATAAACCAGTGATCAAAAGCATAATTAAGCTCTGCTTATGCCTTAAATAGCATTAAAGCAGAAACAGAGATTTAATGTAACAAAGTATTTATTTTTTTAATTCAACTTCTATTTTTCCACAATGAATTCTTGTCAGTTTGTTTAAGCTGAACTGCACAGAATAATAGCATTTATTTTTGTACATATGTATATAGAAAAGAACACTTGTGATCTGAATGTCAGACTCGAGAGTATTATAAAACTTCTGACATCGCACACAATTTTATTCTGTAAAAGGAGATATTGTGATTCATTGTACAGCTGAACACATCTAAAGGTGCTGCATTGTCAGGAATTTCCGGCTTGCTAGCCAAAAAATTCCAGATATAAACAAACTGACCACTCAACAGTGAACTACACGTTTGCTGAGTGAACTACAAGCTGGTTTGGGACCTCTTTTTTGATGGGTTGCGCTCCCCCCCCAGGTCCATGTTGAGATCTGTGTCGGACCATCTGACAGTGTCAAGTAATCCACAAAATATACAGTCAATTCACTTCACAGTATATTCGGCGAAGCGCTTTAAAACGTCTCAACGACGTGATAAGATGCTATATCAATTGTAAGGATCATTATTATTATTAATCTACAATATCAATGACTCAAGGTTTTGGGACTCCTCGCACAATTCACTAGAAGTGTAAAATGTTATTCTTGAAGCGTTTTTAAGTGATCCGTGAAGCCCTCAGGTTTCAAGCTCTTGAGGATTGGTATTCTTGGAATGAACATGACAGTGCTGAAGCCTCCAGCCATCTTCAGGGCTGTTGGTTTTGGCAACAGTTACGGACGTTTAAAACTTGCGACAGAATTGTTCAAGTCCTCGGCATTTCCAACAAGCTGGAACAGATGGAACCCATTTTGAGAATCTACCTGTTCGGGCTACGCTACTAAAATAAAACATAAACATTTTAGTTTTCCGGGAGGTCCAGGGAGATTGCAGGCAACTATTTTTTAATTCAGCTTGTGTAGTGCTTTAACTTCTTCTCCTCCCAATTCCCCTCTCCTCCCAATTCCCCTCGCCTCCCATCCCCAGCTCAGTTGCCAAGCCAGGATTGTTAGGTGCCTTGGGACGTCCTCCCGATGTGAAAGGCGCTATATATGTGTAAATTTATATTTGTATTGTACAGTGCGGAAAAAAAATTCTAAACATCTTAGGAACATGTTTCTAATTTAAAAAAAACTAATTCTTTTGCACGTTACATTTTCCTCCGGTGAACACTTTTCTGTTTTTACGATCTTTAAATCTTACGGGATTTGCCTTACGAATAGATTTGGTCTTTCTACAGTTTTTCTTGGAATGCCAATTTTTCAATGAGAATAGGAAGATCTTTTTCCTCATCTCCAAGATATCGCTATCGTAGAATCATAGTAATTTACAACGCAGAAGGGGACCATTCAGCCCATCGTACAGTGTTTAGCTTGAAAGTGACATTTCAGGATCTAAACTCGAGTGATTTTAACAATATAGGCGAGCATCCTATTTGCCTCCTTTATTGCTGCCTCCCACTGAGGTGAGTGACAAGTCAACTAACACCCTTAGATCTCTTTCAGTTTTCTTTCTTGGCAAGTTCTATCCAATCCATGTTGTACCAGCATTTCTTATTGAACAAAATATCCAGTCAATTCACTTTACAGCATATTCTGTGAAGCACTTTGGAGATGGCACCATATCAAATGCAAGAATTATCATCATTATTATTTTGTGTTAATTTGCGGCTGATTGTCCCATATTACTGATAGCTTCTTTTTCTCACATACACTCCTAATAAAGTGACGATTCGTTCTCCCTACTTTGATCTGCAGCAAATCCAAAATTGCTAGTTTGGCCTTTTTCTTGTTGAGCATATCTAACCAGAGAATTTCATTCCATGATTGATCCTGCAATGGTGGCTCAACTGTCTTCACCTCCCACGCATCCCTTACATACATGGAAACGTCTATACCTTTCCTGTTTCTCTAATCTACCTTGTTTGCTTCTGCATTCTTATGGGGATTTGGTCTGAACCACTGCTCCGGGCAGGACATTCCACATCCCAACCACTCTGCGGTGAAAAATATTTCTCGTAACCTCCCCATTTGCTCGTTCATTGACTATCTTAAATTGATGCCCTCTGGTGCTTTGAGACCTTTTACACACAAGTTGTTGGGATGTTAAGAAATATAAACTGTTCTTGCTGTTGGAGTGACACTTCTTTTGACATCATGACCTTTCTCTTTCAGCTGGAGATCCAATCGTGTTGCGTGTTTTTTCCGAATGACAGCCTGCCCTCGCCCAGTACCATTGTGGCTGGTGACATTCCTGGGACAGTGAGAAGCTGGTACCACACGGAGGCAAACATGCCTGGGACATTGGTCATCTGCCTACCCCAGATAAAGGTGATCAGCGCAGGCCACAAGTCCCTGGAACCACTTCAAGAGATTCCCTTTGTTGTTTCAAGGCCCATTCTCGAAGAAGGTATGACACACCCTCCTGATGTTATCTCTTTGTCCGTCACTTTTTTTCCCCCTTTCTTTATCCTTAAAACCAATGTTTAACGAAACCTCAGACACTGCAATTCTTAGTTTTGGGCTCAAGTAAAGTTTAAGGTTGTGTGAATTTCGGGAAAGTCTTGATGGAATTCGGTCTAAATTGGAAGCCAGCTTTCTGCAGTCAAAAAATAATTTTACAAATTTTCCACAAATTTGGATGAGTGTACGTTTTAGGACGAAGGTGTAGAGGCTAAAACTGTGAGGAATTTAGAGCCTTGGATTAATTTTAATTTGGGTTTCTGTGTAACCTCAAATGTTAGCATGATTCCAAATGTCAATCCTTAGCACACAAACAACAGCAACTTGCATTTATATAGTACCCTTCACTCAGGGTAGAGTCCCAGAGCCTTTAAATGTTACAGCTGTTGCAAAGAGTAATATAGTCTGCAGAATGGTGAACGTATCATGAATGTAGAGTACTTACATATTTTGGTGCAGATCTTTAAAACAGTATTCATCACATTGTTGGCGGAAACCCAGTAATAATCTGCTTACCTGCCAGATAGGCAGTCATTGTTGATGTTACTGCGGTTTTATTGCCTTTAAAATTCCTTTAATTTGCCCTTGCTTAATGATTCCTATCATGTTTGTTCAGTGCTTTGACAGGTTCATTCTATGAGAAGATGCTATGTATGGCAGTGCAAATTGTTGCCGTTTGTTTTTAAAATTTGAAGTTTGTGCATCGAAAATGCTTTTAGTCAGGACATAATGGGCCATAGTGACAGGGCAAATAGAACCAGTTTCAAGAGGTTGAGATTGCATTTGGAGCATCCATTTAACTGGTGAAAAGTAGTTTTCTTTGTGCAGCAAACTTAGCTCAAAGTGTTTGGTCCATCACTGTTGGTTTTGAGGCCCGGATGAAGTTCCATAGAGCGGAACTCACTTTGTTCAGGAGACATTAGAAAATGAAATGTGACATTTGATTTACATGAATCATTTCCGGAGTCCTGTAGCTCAGTGGTTAGAGCACTCGCTTCGTAAGCGACAGACCTGGGTTCGGTTCCTGGCAGGCGAAATGTTGGACAAGTTGTCTTCCTCCACATGCCACTGTTTATCTAGCAGTAAGTAACCCGGATGTTAGTCAATTAGCGGATCGTTTTTCCGGGGGTAATAATTCCATCAAAAAAAAATTGGTCACTTAATCCATGACTGGATGTCGTGACTTGTCTGCCGCGATTTGCCCACAAAATCTACACCCGTATATTCACTTTACAATATGTTCTGTGAAGCGATTTGATTTGCGATTTCTCAAAGACGTGATAAGGCGCTATATAAAATGCAAGGATTATTATTATTATTTTGTGTTCCCGTGGGGAACCACAATTGTGTTGCCCTATTTGGCGCAAACCTTTTGTAAATGTGTATTCGGGTGAATTGCAGATGCCCTAAATAATCTACAGTATTTAACAACCAATAAAAAGGATTACAGGTGATTCGCTAATCCTTTAACCACGCATTAAAGGGGCCTGCATGTATTACAGAACTCGCATAATACACCTGGATTACAGATGGTTTACACAGCTCACACGATAGACCGCAGGTTATCACCATCAACCTTAGAATAGAAAACTCGTAGAAACCTATTTTACTGCCAGTCAATGTTGTGTCCTTTTGCTCCCATCTCCCATGTAATTTAGTCTCCAATAACCATAGCTCTGACCTGGACATGGTTGATTGTCCTCTCACATCCCAAAAACAGGACCACTCATTCGAACAGGTATGTGGAGTGGTTAGCGAGTTTGCCTTGCAAGCAGTAGAACCCAGATTTGATTCCCGGGCACGGCGAAACCTTAGACAAGTTACCTTACTCCACTCACCTCTGTTTACCTAGCAGTAAGTAGGAACCTGGTTGTTAGTTGATCGGGGGTAATAATCCCTCAAAACGAAAAGCAAACAAAAAAAATTACTAATAATGTCAAACGATTACTAATAACTGACAATAATCCCTCCCCCTAAAAAATATTTGTGTCACTCAATCCACAAATGTTTGTGGGACACTGCTGTGCGCACTTGGCTGTCACAATCAAAATACAATCAATTCACTTTACAAAATATTCTGTGAAGAGCTCTGAGATGTCGCAATGACGTGATAAGGCGCTACATTAAATGCAAAAATTATTATTGCTACAGAACCAGCGTGGAATAGTAATTTATTAATTTGAGTGTCTACCAAAGGAGGCCCTTTCAGATGCTTTGATGTAACCTTTATAAAGATGAGAGTGCTTTCTATCATTGTTCACTGCTCTCTGGGAAGCACATTGGTACATACTGCTGATGTGAAAGGCACCATACCAAATGCAAGGATTATTATTCATAAGACGAGCAATGATTTTATACAACAACTACAACTTGCATTTATATAAGTACCCCTCAATGCACAGAGCAAGGGAGAAATGGGAGGAGACCATAAATGGTGTCGAAGAGTGGAGTCCTGTAGCTCAGTGGTTAGAGCATTCGCCTCGCGAACAAGAGATTTGTGTGTGATTCCCGGCAGGGAGAAATGTTGGGCAAGTTTCCTTACTACATAAGTCTCTGTTTATCTAGGATGAAGTAGGAACCCGATTGGAGCATCGCTTTTCTGGGGGCAATAATTCCTTCAAAAAAAATTGGTCACTTCAATTCACAACTGTTTGTGGGACACTGCTGTGCGCAATTGGCTGGCGAGTTTCGCCCACAAAATATACAGTCACTACACTACAGTATATTCTGTGAAACGCTTTAAGATGTCTCAAAGACGTGAAAAGGCTCTATTTAAAATGCAAGTATTATTAAGAGGTAGGTCTTACAGTGGGATTAAAGATGGATAAAGAAGGGGCAAGGCGGATGGGTTGAGGCAGGGAGTTCCAGAGGCTAGGGGTGTAATAAAATGGAGGAACAGCCTTGTCGGACTGAATGGGCTAGTCTTGTTCCAATTTGGCATTGACTTTATGCAATTTGGGCATTGTATCGACACGGAATGTGCAGGCCCACTGACCCATAAGCTAACTTTTGTTTTGGGAAAAATTAGTCTCACACATGCTGTATAAACAGATTACTCAGTGGCGAACAAGTCAAATATTCAGTTTATTCTACTCATGGGGAAGGCTTTCATTACTCGCAAGCGACCTGTGGAATGGTTGTGTATTCCAGGTTCCCTGTTGTGCATCGTCTGTTTATTTTACACTTAAAATTTGATACGGCAGCTGCGAGCAGAACAATAAGTGGATTTGTTTGGCTGGGGCCTTCATGTGTTGCAATGCAAAGCTGCTGCTTTGCTTGCTCTGAGACTTGAGCAAGAAAATATAACAACTATGTCTATTCAAGCTCGGGTCGTTACACCATCTCGGTCTAGAGGAAAGAAAAACACCTCTCACGGAAAGCCTTTTTTTTAACGAAGCACCCAAAATAGCCTGGCTCAGTTGGTAGCACTCTGGCTTCTGAAGATTGTTGGTTCAAGCTCCAGGTTGGGACTTGGAAACCATATTGTCCTGAGTGATATTTCAGTGCAATGCTAGGGTGGGGTCTGCACTGTTGGTGGTGTCGTCCTTCGCATGAGACATTAACCAGAGGCACCTGTTCAGGAGGAGAACTGGGTGGTCACTGTGTGGATTGGGGCTGGAAGCCTCAATGCATGGAGTCGGGCTGAGTGCAAAAGGATAATGTGCCTGAGGTCTACGAAATGTATTGTTTGCATGAAAACGATCTGACTCTCAGTATTGTACAGTACATTCAAACAAGATGGGCAGATTGCATTGGTTAAATCTTAAGAGTTAAGAAATCTTTTTAGGGTTGGCTATTAAATCAAAACATTTTGAGACTCTTAATTGATAATAATTAATTTGTTTTCTGATATAATTATTCTGCTACGTTGGAAATTAATTGTACCGTATCGATTGACTCTGAAACTAAGAAATGAGGCCTGAGAGATTACTGCATGGACCAAATGTACTAATGTCCAACCTTAATCACACCATTAAAATAAATATTCAGGAATTTGTAGAGTGGCTGTGGCTTCTAAAGAGTACTGTATGAACTAAAGCCAGATATACTCAATGCTGAGTGTTGTGTTGCCTCCTTTATTGCCTTTCTAAATGTCAAGCTGTTGTTGGATGCTCCACATATATTTCCCTTTTGCCATTTCCCATCAGTGTTTCTTGGCACACAGGATTGGCATAATCTCTAGGAGCCAATTGATACCCAATTAAAGAGTACCTTGGTAGTTTTGCCTTTCTGCTGGTCAGATCACCTCATTTTTCACATGGGACAGTTTCATGAGCCGAAAGGGGAGAGTGAGACAGCCTGAACACATAGCCAACAACAGCTTGACTGGCCTCCAAGCTACCCAATTGTTCCCCAACCAAAAGGCTGCACTTCATGTCCCGGCGCCTCTGCATGTGTTTAAGCTTTGAGAGGAAACTAGTTTAAAAAAATTGTAATTGCTTTTAGATTTTAAGATTTTGAGAGAGGGACAGTACAAATGTATACTGTGGTCTGCCCTGTGGATAGACATTCCCCTGTGACATTCCCCTAAACTCTCTGAGATGCTGCCCGGCATGAAGGGCACAATACAAATGCAAGTTGTTGTTGTTAAATGTTCAACATGGGACGTTTTATAAATCAATATAAATCTATAAATCATCATCCACCATACAATAATCCTTGTGTTTGACACCCCCCGACCTTTATCAGGTTGTCGGGATGTCTCAAAGTGCTTCACAAGATTTTACTGTCAAGTGTAGTGATAATGTATTTCTAGGTAACTGCGGCAGCCAATTGGTACATAGCAATGTTCCACAATCAGTCATTCAGTGATTGATCAATTTTATCTGGACAGGACGCCGGGAGAAGTTCCCATCTCTTTTTGAGTATCTTTAGCTTACACTTGAGTAGGTAGACAGGACCTCAGTTTAACGTGTCATCTGAAGGCACCTCTGATAACAGAGCACATCCCCAGTACTGCATTGGAGTTTCATTCATAAGTTCAAGGTTCCGAAGTGAGGTTTGAACCCACAATCTTTTGACTCGGAGGCAAGAGTCCTACCAACTGAGCCAAGCTGACATCACATAGTGCAGTTGTCCACTGAGCAACAAGGACTTATTTATTCTGTCATTCAAAACTGTGATAATTGTTCTGTAGCTTTTAAAAATTCATTGTCAGTAGCACTGTGTCCAAGCACCATATGGTGCCACTATACAGTACTGTATACTAAGTGGAATAGAGTAGGATTGTTTTGATTATATTGAAATGTGCATTGCTCTTCTCATCTCTAATGAGTTGTGACTTTAAAGTGAAGATTAACTCCTTTCCCATCTAGATTAACGTATTGTCTGCTTTTGCAGACAGACGTATTGTGTTGGATGCAGTCAAACCCATTCATTCCTTTGGCAGCTTTGTTTCCGACTCACTTGATACTGTTGCTGCAAATGTCCTGTTTTTAAAAATAAATCATGTTTTGCAGTGAATGTTTAGCGTTAAGATTATTTGCAGACCTTTAAATCGTTCAGGAAAGACACAGATATGCCAATAAATTAGATTGAAAGAGCCATTTCTTTTATTACTGATATTCGGTGCATTTTATGTGATCAGTTTCAGTCATATATTTTAATGAAGGACATCCTTTCTATCCTGGATGCATTGTCCAGCTCCGTGCTTGGTTGTTATCATCTTGCAATGTGTACTGCAGTCAATGGGCAACATAAAGCTTCAAGTTAATAAATCACTGAGGATGAAGCAATGCACTCTGAAATAGTAAAATATTGGTCCATGCCAGCGATTTCTTCAAGATTACATTTCTGATCATCTGCCATCATTGACAGATTATAATAATTATAACAATCCTTGCATTTGGTCTCCTGCCTTTCACTTCAGGAAATTGGTTCACAGGACACACTGTAAAAGTGCATTGTCTGTATATTTGTCGGTGAATGAAACAGCCAATTTGCACACAGCAATGTCTCACTAAAAGCTATGATGTGAATGGCCAATTTTATCGAAGGGATTGTTGGCCAGGACAGCGGGAGAAACTCCATTCTCTTTCCAAATAGTGCCATGGGATCTTGAACATTCATCTGCACAGACAGATGGGACCTCGGTTTTAACGTCTCAACCATCGGATGTAGACAGCACCTCCAACAATGCAGGACGCCAACATTGTATTAGAATGTCAGCTTAAACAAAGTCCCAACGTGGGGCTTGAACACACAGCCTTCTAACTCAGAGAGGAGAATGCTGCTAACTGAGCCAGGCTGACTCATGTTTCTATGTGCCTTTTTGGTCAGCCGGGCGTCTGACATCATCGGAAACCCATTGCCATGCATCTGTTTCTATGTGCCTGATTTTCTTTTATCCAAGACTTGTACACAAGACTTGCCTGGGGCCCATTGAACTGGAATGGGTGGGGAAAGGCCTCAGACCTTTGGTCCTTCCCAAAGATACTTTACCCAAAGGGTGGCTTGAGGCTTTTGAGTTTGCTAATTCGAGTAACGTTTCTCAGCTGCCCCTTATTTGACTGCCCTTGGATTTCAAAGGTTTTCCCTCTTCAGTGGGTGTTGGAAGTTGGTATGCTTCTGTCTTGGCTCCTTCCTTTTAGACTTTATTCACCTACAAAATACAATCCCTGCCCTTTACAGTAAATCCTGTGAAGTTCTTTGAGCCGTGAAAGGTGCTATGTCAAATGCAATAGTTATTATTTATCTAGTCCTAAATCTTGGTTTCCCCAGAGTGCTGCTACATTAGGTTTAGAGGGATGTTTTTCTTGCCTTGTCTGAGTGGAGATCCGTTTATTGAAGGCTCTTTGAGGTTTTGCCTTTTATCTTACCTTCCTGAGAGCTGTCGGTGTTTTTTCCCCTGCCTTGCCAGGCCGGTTTTGCATTTACATCCATCTGATTATCAGTGGACTCTTTTTATTGCTTGTTATTTGTAAACATTTTTAAAGCTTTGCTTTTTTTGTAAAAAAATGGCTTGAATATATTACAGCATTAACAGTGAAATGATTGCCAAATCAGTGACCTCTGTGCGACAGTTACCAATATTGTTGGGAATTTTTTTTTGTCTTGGTCAATAATCCCCGAGATTAATTGGTCATTCATCTCATAAAATCACAAAGATTGGTTTGGATCAACATTCGACCCATCTGATCTCAACCTTCTAAAATCAAACCTGCCATTTCCAGCATTAAGCTTCTCTTTAAATGAGTCCCAATGTTCTGGCTACCTGGTCTAGCAGTTAATTATCCTCTGAGTAAAGAAAATCTTCCTGGTAACTCTCCTGAAATTTCCCTCTAAATCTAGATCCTCTTGTTCTACTGTCTTGATGGATCCTTAAGTATTGATCTGGGTTTACTTTTTCAATCGTGTTAAAAATTTTATATACTTTTGCGAGGTCCCCTTTGAGTCGTCTTCTCTCAAGACTGAAGAGCCCAAGCTCGTCTAATCATTGTCATCATTCAGCTCATAGCTGAGATATTACTGGTGCCCGAAATGCTTACAAAAATGATCACTTGCACTTGACAGTAATGCAATATATATCTGTTAATTGTATTAGAATAATAATAATCATTGCATTTGATATAGCTCCTTATCACATTTTCGAGACAGCTCAAAGCACTTCACAGAATATAATGTAAAGTGAATTGACTGTATATTTTGGGGGCGAAACCTGGCAGCCAATCGCCTAACATCCGGGTTTCTACTTACTGCTAGGTAAACAGGCGTGTGGAGTATGGAAACTTGCCCAACGTTTAGAGATGAGTGCTCTAACCACTAAGCTACAGGACTCCACAATTATATTTAATACTTGTGTTTTTCCCCCTCATGTCTCAGGTGATGCCTTCCCCTGGACGATTGGTCTGAGCCAGTTCAGCGTCTACACTTTGCTTGGATGGCAGAAGGCACGTAACCTCATAGAACCCATGGGCTGCACTTCAACTCTGGCTATCACATCACAGAAACTTCAAGCCTGCGGCCCGGAAAGCAGACATTCATTTGTTGTCTGTCTCCACGTGGACCTGGAGTCTCTGGAGATAAAATGCTCCAATCCCCAGGTTGGTATTGGAACAGATAATTGATTTATTATGGGGATATAAGAAATGACTTGCTTTAAGTTAATTTGTCCTGTACTTTATAGGAGAATCCTTATTCCATTAAACATCTTAGCTCTTTTTCGTTTGGTGACCAAGATCAGGGAGAAAGATTAGTTTCTCCTTTGATGTGCTCTCAAGTTTTGTAATTTAAACTCTTCCAAAAAATTTAGTAACTGCAGTCTAAAGTGCATCTTAAAACTGATGGAATGAAATCAGTTGCAGATGTGCAGTTTCAGAAAGTATTATGTAGCAGAATTAATCTGCAGCAGCTTTGAAAGTGTCCATTGGAGCTGCCTGTTCAAAAGTTTATCATAACTTCACACAATATATTTATAGATGTGGGCTGCAACATTAAAGAGATTTCAGATTTGAATAACGTCGACTTAAGTTTCCATTAATAGAATGCATTCCATACAGCGGTGGAAATACTTCAGCAGACCTGAAACTCTTCAATTTGCTTTTCTTTATTTGAAAGAAGCCACTTTACAGTGATTTAAGTAGAAAAACGGGCAGCTCTGAGTTCTATATTCTCCTTCAGTGAGGTTTAAGCACATGCAACCTTTTTCTAGATTGGTAGCGTTGTTTTTAAGAAACGTGCAAAAATGTTTTTATTAACTTCACTTCTTGTGCAATGCAGTCTGTCACCCATCAAAACGTGGCAGTTTGGGTCCATTAAATAGTGTTTAAGCAGTTTGGTACATCTTCCCGATGTGAATATATAATGATAATCTTTACATTTAATATGGCACCTTATTATTGAGACGCCTCAAAGCACTTCACAGGAATTACAGTAAATTACTGTGTAGGTGGATGCAGCAGCCAATTTACACACACCCGTGTCCCACAAACAACCATGAAATAAAAGAAAATGTGTTGAAACCTGGAGGATTGTTGTAACACCAGGAGAAACTCCCTCCTCTTTTCGAACAGTGGCATGGATGCTTGTAAAAGAGGAATATTAACAGGTATGGGGAGCGGGACAGATGTGTAAATTAGATCATGTGGAGGAAAACACCAGCAAAGGCTTGATGGCCTGAACAGCTTCAAGTGCAAAATAGAACTTAATTTTAGGGAGAACTATTACCACACCGAGTTAAGATGCTTTATGTGGTCTTATTGTTGGTTCTGCAAGTAGTTAAAGATGGTCCAATAAACGTGCTTTAGTTGTACAGGTAAACAGTGTGGAATCCTTCAGATTGTGTTCTGTTCAATTTGTAAATTTATTGAAGAACAACTTTTTTTCTTACACATTATGAAACTACATTTTATATAGTTCTAGTAGTCACAAGAAGAGCAAAATGAGAGTTTTATTTTACATAGAGAGTTGTTGAGTTGTGGAATGGCCTGCTAAGTAAGGTGGTAGAGGTAGGTCCATTCTGGGTTTCAAGAGGGAAGAAGACAGCTATATAAAAGATAGAGACGTGAAGGGGTATGGAGGCATAGAGCGGGGCAGTGTAATTGCATGGATAGTTTCTCTGAGAGAGGTTCAGACCTGAATGCCCTCTTCCTATGCAGTAAATCTCCCTAATTCTACGATTTGGGTGGCAATGTGGAAAGCTAAGACATGCACATTGCAGGTTTGGTCCTCTCACCTACCCAATTTTCTGCTTCAATACGACCCATTCCTCTCTCCTGACTATGCTTTTTGATTCCTTTTTCCTTCAATTGGGATATAATTCCATGAGCAAAGGGCTCCATGGTGACTCAAGCCTTGACATAAAGCATGAGGGCAGGGATTTCCCTCAGCTGATCTTGATACTGTCCTCGCTGAACTACCACATGCATGGATCTTCTGACTGGCATCTCTATATAGCAGTCAGGACCAGGGACCCTTGTTGACTATCCTCTCCCAAACCCAGAGGTATTGACTGCTGCCACAGCTGAGATAAGCTAACTCAAGCACAATTCAGGATTTGAAGCTCTGTGGGTCTGCATGGCCAAGTCCTGCAATATTGGTTTGGGTGTAGAAAGCCCTTTAGCCCATTTGATCCCTCCATAATTTCCACCCTACTGTCCTCCATCACAGCGTCAAACTACGTTTCAAATAAAAGGCAATTTACTGCAGATGCTGGAAATCTGATATAAAAACAGAAGTCGCTGGGAACACTCAGCAGGTCAGGCAGCATCTATGGAGAGAGGGAAGTATGTTAACGTTTCAGGTCGATGACCTTTCTTCATCTGATGAAATGAGTTGAGTGTTCTGGCCTCAACCACCCTTCCTAACAACGTGTTTCAGTTGTTAATTACCCTCTGTTGAAAGAAAACTTTCGTGAAATTGCCTCCTGCAACTCTAAACCCTTGTTCCCATGTTCTATTGTCTTGGTTTTCCTGACTTTACAGTACTCCAAGCTGCTACTCTGCATAGAGAGTGCTGCATACAGGCAAGTGATTGATTATGGTGCATTCTAAAGTATTGTTCCGGGCTGACTTTTCCAATCCCATTTGAAATATTACACACCTCTACAAGGTCCCCTCTGCCCTTTACCAACTAGGCCATCAGGGAGAATAGTGTTCCTTTTTTAAAAAAAAGTGTAAAGTATTATGTGTGCAACATCCAAAACTATTTTATCAAATTTAGAATCGTTCCTCCAACCTCCTGACAAAGCAAAAAACTTGGCTGACCTCCAAGTTTGAAACTTGCTATCAAAAAAAAATTGTCGTAACTTATCCTCAGTTTTGAGCTGCCTGGTTTGGATACGTTTGAGTCTTCAAGATCCTTAAAATGTGCTGTTAAAGATGGTGAATTTAACATTTGAAACAAGCAAATTCTTACAAGGTTCGCATTAAGGGTTCATTGGATTCCTATTACAGTATTCTAAAAGATTTGGTAACTAGTTTTATTCTGAAAAAAAATAGTTCCATGTCTATTTTACTCTCAGCATGTCTAACAAAATCAATCGCTCTGACCAGGTTCACACTTTCTCCTCTGGAATAGAGCAGGGGAGATTGAGAAAGGATATGAAATGTCTACAGTTGTGAAGAGACATTTTTTTGAGTCAGCTGGGTGACTGACCCATACGTGGAGACCCATAGCGTGCTCGCCTCGCAAGCCAGAGGGTGTGATTCCCGGGCAGGGCAATACCTAAGGCAAGTTTCCTTACTCCACACTCCTCTGTTTACCTAGCAGTGAGTAGGAACCTGGTTGTTAGTCGATTGGCGGATCACTTTCCAGGGGTAGTAATCCATTTTTAAAAAAATTGGGTCATTCAATCAACAACTGTTTTTGAGACTGCTGTGCAATTGGCTGCTGGGTTTAAGGCTTGGGAACCCCAGAGTAAGTTTTGGGGTAACTGCTGGTGTTTTACCAGCTAAAATTGCATAGCTTACCATTGAATGTTTTCGCTTCTTGTTTAGCAAGAAACACCCTACCCGGCAACGGGAGCTGAGTGGGAATAATCCCTGCTCTCAGTGAGTCTTTCCCCTCAAGTTCTGAGTAACATGCCTTGGAGATGTGAGAAGGTAAACAGGGAAAAAATATTTCTTTCAGTTCTGAAATTGATCACATTTAGGTTGGAAGGAATTTCTTCACTCAGGATTGATTTGATCTGTGCTGAATAATTCTATGATTCTATGATTAAGGTTTTGAAAGCTTGACTTTCCTTCAGTAAAATGTCAAAGTAATTTTCACATTTGAAAGATTTTGCATCTGAAATTCCGCATCTTAGAATTTTATCATGTAAAATCCTGCAGATGTTGTGAATGGGAATAAACTGGAAACTGTTTTTGGTAAATGTATTTGCCATCAAACATCTATACATCAAAGGTGATGAGTTGAGTATTATTTACTGCAATCAGCAATAATAAGGAAAGAGCTTGCATTTTTAACTTACATGAATGCAGATGATATGAGTAGTAATAGTAATCCTTGCGTTTGATATAGCGCCTTATCATGTCGTCGAGATGTCCCGAAGGCTTCACAGGATTTTACTGCGAAGTGACTTTGTGTTGGCGAACACAGCAGCCAATTTGCACGGCAATGTCTCACAAGCAACCATGAAGTTAGTGACCAATTTGTTGACCAGAAACTCTTCTCTTCAGATAGTGCAATGGGATCTTTTATGTAAACAGGAAGACAGTTTAACATCTATAAAGTAACACAATTATCAAACATTAACATTCAAACTATGATGGACTTTTTGCAAGGGTAAGGTAAGAAGGAGTATAACCCATTCGGCTTTGCTGATCTGCATGGGTCTGCAGGTTTGCAAGATGGATGAAGTCCTCACTTGGCATCCTTATTAAGGCTGCCCACTAGAAATAGCCGTGTATGGGAACTCAAGGGCATTAAAAGCTTGATATTGTCTTCAGTGTCCTGTAGTCCTGTTGCTTAGTGGTTAGAGCACTCACCTCACAAGCGAGAGGTTCGTTTCCAGGGCAGTTGGGAAACGTTGGGAAAGTTTCCTTACTCCATATGCCTCTGTTTAGCAGTAAGATAGGAACATGATTGTTAGTCGATTGGCAGATTGCTTTTCTGGGGATAATAATCCCTTAAAAAAATAATAATAATTTGGTCACTCGATCCATGACTGCTATGTGCAATTGGCTGCCGTGTTTTGCCCACACAATAAAGCCAATTCAATTTACAATATATCCTGTGAAGTGCTTTGAGACGTCTAGAAGATGTAAGGCGCTATATTAAATGCAAGGATTATTACATATTTATTATTCAGTGCTTAAGCAGAATGTTTCTTAAGACATTCCAGAATATGTTGTAAATTGACTGCTGTGTTCTACCACTAACACTCAGTTGTTACATTTCCCAGTAAAAATTTCTGTGCTTTGTTACATTTCCCAGTAAAAATTTCTGTGCTTAATGTGATAAAACGCCATATGAATTACAAGGAGTATTATTGCATCAGTACATGTCACATTATTCAGGTCATTGCAGTCTGTCTGGGATGGTGGTCCAATACACCTCTGGTTACCAACAAGAGTGGATTCTACCGCCTTCTTGCTTTGAA